TATCTATCAGCCCTGCCTAGGATGATCTATCTATCTATCAGCCCTGCCTAGGATGATCTATCTATCTATCAGCCCTGCCTGGGATGATCTATCTATCTATCTATCTATCTATCAGCCCTGCCTGGGATTATCTATCTATCTATCTATCTATCTATCTATCTATCTATCTATCTATCAACCCTGCCTAGGATGATCTATCTATCTATCAGCCCTGCCTGGGATTATCTATCTATCTATCTATCTATCTATCTATCTATCTATCAACCCTGCCTAGGATGATCTATCTATCTATCAGCCCTGCCTGGGATCTATCTATCTATCTATCTATCTATCTATCAACCCTGCCTAGGATGATCTATCTATCTATCAGCCCTGCCTGGGATTATCTATCTATCTATCTATCTATCAACCCTGCCTAGGATGATCTATCTATCTATCTATCAGCCCTGCCTGGGATTATCTATCTATCTATCTATCTATCTATCAGCCCTGCCTAGGATGATCTATCTGTCTATCAGCCCTGCCTAGGATTGATTATCTATCAGCCCTGCCTAGGATGATCTATCTGTCTATCAGCCCTGCCTAGGATGATCTATCTGTCTATCAGCCCTGCCTAGGATTGATTATCTATCTATCTATCTATCTATCTATCTATCTATCTATCTATCTATCAATCTATCAGCCCTGCCTAGGATGATCTATCTATCTATCTATCTATCTATCTATCTATCTATCTATCTATCAGCCCTGCCTAGGATTATCTATCTATCTATCTATCTATCTATCAGCCCTGCCTAGGATTATCTATCTATGTATCTATATATCTATCTATCTTGCCTGGGATTTTCTACCCATCAACCCTTTTTTGGAATTGTCTATCCTGCCTGGTATTGTCTGTCTATCTGTTTATCAGTCCTGCCCGCAATTATCTATCACACAAGTTTTTCTTTAAATTGGAATTAACACAGCTCTCACTATTTAAGCAGCACTGTCCCCCAATGGTGACATTGCTGCTGGGAGTCTGGTGTCCGAGGTGGGCAGGTTAAGTAGAGTTTACTTACCTGAACCTGTCGCTCGTAGGTATCTCCATCTTGGAATCTTAGAAATGAGTGTTTCTAAAGATTCTATCTTTATGAAATGCAAATTTTTCAGAGGGAACAAAAGTGCCACTTTAATCTGAGCATTACATGGTGCATAGAAAGCTCTGTATTTTACTGAGCCCACAAGGAGTGACCACAACTGTCCTACTTGGAACAAACACATCTGAATATTTTAAGATCTCATTGGGGCAGGCACAGCTTTCTCTACATCTGAGCCCTAAACTGGACCAAATCTTGTCAGTGATGTCGGCACATCCTTCCTATT